TGCATGGGGCGACTGCAGGCATATTCCAGCAAACATGCTGCCCAGAAATCCACCATAAAAGGATTAGAGCTGCTGTGTGCAGCCTACAGTGTCCACATTGATATTGACAGTGACCAGTACAGGAATAGGCAGAGGTCCTGGATATCCATTGGCATTTCCACCTGCCATACAACCCAATTGAAGAGATGAATGGACTGTTGAAGCAACACCTCTGGCAGGAGACACACTCTCTGGCTCTGCAGACATGCTGCTTACCAGCAGCCATCCACACCCTGAATAAACAAGTTCTCTCATCAGCCCAGCACATACTCTTCTAATGCAAGGACCTGATACCACCATAAGGATCCAGGTAGAAAGTATAAGGGGCAGTACAACTTTACCCTAAGCTGGTACTTTCGATAACCTGCTATTGCCCTTCCCACAGGACCTACCCACTGGGGAGCACAATAGTGTGTGGCCCTGGAAATGGCAAACCAGCCCCCAATAGTTCAGCTTTGCTGCTCCATGAGAGGAAGGGCCTAGAAAACCACATACAGGTCACACCTATTTTATACCCTACCCTCTCTCGTACTTTTAAAATAATGAATTCTTGTCCTCCCTTGTGCAAGGAGACAATCATTTTATAATGGAACATTTTAACACCCCCATTGTCTTACTCTGGCCTTTTGTAATGCATCACACATGGGGAGGGGAGGCAATCCATTTGGTATTATAAATCAGACACCAGGACACTGATAGGGGTGGTGATCTCTCAGAATGTCCATAAATGGTGTGCAGCAAACCTCTTCATCAACTGGGTGCAGATGGTCTCTCTCCAGAAAAAACCAGCCTGTTGGGTCTGTGAGGAGCTGCCTCTCTCTTCCACTATGGGTCCACCATGGCACATCCAAGCAGCTAACCTGAGTATTTGAAACCTCTTCTATATGTGGTATAATGACCCTCACTTGTTTCTCTTTATCAACAACAGCACCTCATGCAGTGAATTCCCTACCATTAAGGAGATGAGACCGCATATTTTCCATATAGTGTGGGAGCAAATTAATGTTATCCCCACTATGAGGTAGGCTGTATACGATGAGCTAAGGTAAATAAGGGCAGTGCATATACAGGTAGTGTGTTGTGCACCCTTGTTTGCAAAATTGTGTGGCTTTGGACACCTTAAGTGCTGCCCAGGGTGAAATCTGTGCATTAATTAAAACTGAATGTTGTCTATATAGCCCTGATTACTTTCACAACATAACCCAGGCCACACAGGCCTTAGGTACCCATATTTCTGTTATAGAATCTCTGTCTCACAACTGTATAACCATGTGGTTTACTCAACTCCAAAGCTCTTAGAAAAACTTTGCATACAGTATGATTGTTATTAAATTTATTATTCATTTTTGTTGTTGTAGTTTGTATTATTGCTGTGGCATCTGGAAACAGTGCTCCTCTACATACCTGACTCCAGGGGATATCACGGAAGAATGTTGTGATGAGAGTGTGGGGCCCAGTCAAGGGTACGTTGGTGGGGAGACTGTTTGGCAGATGCACCTGACAGCAATAACTTAAGCATAACCTGAGTATGATCCTGTGTGACAGACACATCTGACAGCACTAACTTAAGCATCCCTTAAAAATGACTCTGTGGTCTGAAAAGAATGTGTGTTCAGAATTCTGAACTGAGGAATCTGGGAGTAGACAATTCAGATTCATTTCTTATCCATGTGGAATGAACACGGGCCCATCCTGTGGAACTCAGGCCATACAGGGAATGGAGGAACTTTGTTTTCGGTAAAACGAAGGTTGCTAGGCGGAGGGCATTAAGTTAAAATGCTATATATACTGCATGCCTTTTATAAGCAGTTGCAGTTCTCCTTCCGGCCCTCTGACAATGGACCACCCTCATGTAAGTTCCCTCAATACACTCTATGTTCTTGTTCCTAGGCTCCAGGTCTCTTCTCCAGCCTCTTGGACATGGTACTATCCCTATTGAAGTCAGTAGGGATCTGGCACAACAAGCCATATCTGTGAGCCTGAAACAGAGATGTTAGTATTCAGGAAAGCTACTAGAACTTGCAGTCTGTGAATTATGCCACAACTGTAGGTTGCCTAAGGCAGTCACCTGGGTCACCTTAATGGTGAGAGTCACTTTGGCCTCTAGAGAATTCTCAAGGTTAGTTTTCAGAAACATGCAGAAAGAGAGAGAATATTAGAAGAAGAAGCAATCACTGTTTGAGCCGGCGACTCCCAAACTTTAATGAGCATAATAATCATGTGGAGGATTTTAAATAAACATTTTCTAATTCCACCCCCAAGAGTTTCTTTTTCAGTAGGTCTGGAATAAGGCCCAGTAATTTGCATTTCTAACAACTTCTCAGGTGATGTTATGCTGCTATGTAAAGACCACACTTTGAAAAATACTGGTTTAAGCAAATTAAGCTTCATTCTCTTTCAGGACTTAGAGTGTAAAAGGGGAAACAAAAATGTAAAGAAATCAACAATTCATGACCCATGAACAAATAAAAGGCAGATAAAACATAACATTTGGGCTGGATATACCTGGATAAAGTTAATACTAAGCTAATTATTCTTTCTATTTATTATCAATGATTTTCCTGGGATAATCTATTTTCAAATGGTGATGGGCAATAACATACAATGCTACAAATTGAGTAGGGATTACTTTTACAAAAATCATCTCCTTAACTATTTGGAGCCTTTTGCCTTTTCATATCAATTTTAAGATTTCAAAAATTCTATTTCAGTGAAGAATGTCACTGGTATTTTAATAGGAATTGCATTGAATCTGTAGGTCACTTTGGGTAACTTGGACATTTTAACAATATTAGCTCTTCCAGTGCATGACATGGGCTATCTTTCCATTTATTTGTATCCTCTCCAATTTTTTTCATCAGTGTTTTATAGAATTTGTCATAGATATCTTGCACCTCCTTGGTGAAGTTTACCCCGGGGTATTTTATTATTTTTTATCATTATTATAAATGGAATTATTTTCTTGATTCTTTTTCAGATAGTTCACTATCAATGTATACAAATGCTATTGATTTTTATATGTTGATTTTGTATCCTGCAGCTTTACCAAATTTATTAGTTCTAATGGAGTTTTTGGTGAATTCTTTAGAGTTTTCTCTGTATTGATTATGTCATCTGTGAATAAGGATAATCTTGAGAAAAAAGAACATAGCTGGAAGTATAATACCACCTGACTTCAAAATATACCACAGAGCCATAGTAACCAAAACAACATAGTACTGTTTTGGTCACATCAAAACAAGCAAATAGACCAATGGAACAGAAGAGATAACCCAGAAATGAGTTCAGGCATTCACAACCAACTGATTTTTTACAAAAATGCCAAGAACACACATGGGAGAAAGAACAGTGTACAATAAATGGTATTGGGAAAACTGGATCTCCACATGCAGAAGAATCAGACTAAGATCCCATGTTTCATCACATACAAAAATCAATACTAATGAATGAAATAATTACATGTAAGACCCAAAACTATGAAACAACTAGGGGAAAACATAGGGAAATGGTTCATGAAATTGGATTGGGCAAGAATTTCTTGAACAGTACAAGGAGCAGAAACAAAAATAGACAAATAGGAGTACATGACATTAAAAACCTTCTGAACAGAAAAAACAATAAGTGAAGACATAATCTACAAAATAGGAGAAAGCATTTGCAAACTATGCATCTGACAATATTCAGAATATATAAGGAACTCAAACAACTCACTTCTTAAAAGAAGACACACAAATGGTCAACAGATATATGAAAAAATACTTGATAGCAAACATCATCATAGAAATTCACATCAAAACCAAAACAATATATCACCCCTCTCCAGTTAGAATGGTTGTTATCAAAAAGACAAAAAATAACAAATGCTGGTGAGGATGTGGAGAAAAGGAAATTCTTATACACTGCGGGTACGAATATAAATTAGTGTCGCCATTTTGGAAAACAGTATGACAATTCCTCAAAAAATTAAAAATAGAACTACTGCATAATTTAGCAATCTCAATAGTTAGTATATATCCAAAGGAAATAAAATGAGTACATTGAAGAGACACGTCTACATCCATGGTTATTGCAGCAGTATTCAAAGTAACCAAGATAAGGAATCAACCTCAACGCCCATCTAATGATGAATGGACAAAGAACATGTGGTACATATATGCAATGAGTACTATTCAGCCATAAAAAATAACTAAATCCTGTCATTTGTGGCAATGTAGATAAAACTGTAGGGTATTATATTAAGTGAAATAAGCCAGGCACAGAAAGACAAAATACTTAATGATCTCACTCATATGTGTAATCATAAAGTTGATATCATATAAGTAGAGAGTAGAATAGTCATTGCTAGAGGCTGGGGAGGGGAAGAAAAATGGGGAGGCCAGGAGAAATTGTTCAACAGGTATGAAAGTACAGTTACAGAAGGTAAATCCATTTTGGTGTTCTATTACACAATAAGGTGAGCATAGTAAATAGTAATACAGTGTGTATTTCAAGGTAACTAGAAGAAAAGGATTTGAATGTTATTTTCACAAATAAATGACGAATAATTAAAGTGATGGACATAGTAATAACCCCAGTTTGATCATTATATAATGTATACGTGCATTGAAACATCACATCGTACTCCATAAATATGTATAGTTATGTGCCCATTTTGAATAAAATTAAATAAAAACCAAAACTATAAGTAAGTTTTTAAATCGACCCTATTTTGAAGTGATATTTTTGAAAGGCAACTTTCTACCAAATTGTCTATATAAGTTAAAATTCTTTTATAATAAAATAATCACTTTTTAACTTTTTTAAGTGGGATAATTTTAAGCAAAGGAAAAAATATGCAATTTTTGTAACATGACCATATGGGCTTAATCCTTCTCAAAATATCTGTTTAGAATCAGCAGGATTTTTAACTGCATGATGGTAATTATTTCATTGATTTGACAGAGGTTCCCACAGCTACATACCTTTGTCCCTGTGTTGACTTCTCAGCAATCACAGTGAGCTACTGAACACCTGTCAGGAAGGAAAAAGTGTAATGAATTGTGGGAAATAACATGAATAAAACACCCTAAAATCTAAAACCTCAATGCCTTACAATGTGTTTTAAGTTTCTCCTCTCTTTTATATTTCTCCGTCTCTCCTCATCTCTCTCAATATCCTACCCTCTCCTTTCACAAGAAAGATTAACAGATACTGCAATCCCAAAATTACACCTGATAAGTTGCACTAGATATTTCTCTAATTCTCCACCTTTTCCATTTCCCTCCTATTTCCTTCTCCTGTTCTCATCTTTGCCTTTCGTAGTGACCAACAGCTGGCTCTGGCAGGTATAGTGACTTATCTTACTTTCATAATTGGTGCAGTCAATCAAAACAGGCAATTAAAACTGTACTTTGATATGTATCTGTATGCATCAATCTTTAATGTATTTCCCAAGGGGCAGCTGAATCTAAAGGTGATGGGAGTATGTGAAAAAATATATACACATATACAGGATGAGCACTGCTTATCTAAAATGCTTGAGATCAGAAGTATTTTGGATTTAAATATTTTTGGATTTTGGGATATTTGCATTTATATTTTAAAATATCTTGGGGATAAGTCTAAACACAAAATTTATATTTTTCATATCCTTCTTACACATATAGCCTGAAGGGTAATTTTTACATTTCATAATTTTGTGCATAAAACAAATTTTGACTGCAATTTACAACCTGTCACATGGATCAAGTGTACAATTTTCCAGTTGTGGTGCCATGTCAGCTCTCAAAAACTTTCAGATTTTGGAGTTCTTCCGGTTTCAGATTTTTGCATTAGGGATGCTAAACTCAAACTCCTTAGAGATAGGAGTTTGTTTCAAGACCACCACAATAAAGCAAGTCCCCCAATTTTTTGGTTTCCCAGCGCAAATGAATGTTATGTTTACACTACACTGTAGTCTATTAAGCGTGCAATAGCGTTATTGTTAAAAAATAGTGTTCATACCTTAATTAGCAAATACTGTATTGCTAGAAAAAAAAAGCTAACCTTCATCTAAGCATTCAGCAAATCTTGATATTTTGCTGGTGAGGGATCTTGCCTTCATGTTGATGGCTGCTAACTCATCAAGGTGGTGGTTACTGAAGGGTGGAGTGACTGGAAACTTCTTAAAATAAGGCAGCAATGAAGTCTGCTGCATCTATTGACTCTGCCTTTCATAAAAGATTTCTCTAGCATGAAATGCTATTTGATACCATATTACTCAGAGTAGAATTTCTTTCAAAATTGGAGTTAATCCTCTCAAACCCTGACTCTGTTTATGATTTAAGCTTTTGTAATAAACTTCTACATTCTTTGTTGTCACTTCAACACTTTTCACAGCATCTTCACCAGCAGTAGATTCCTTCACAAGAAACTACTTTCTTTGCGTATTCATAAAAAGAAACTACTCATCCCTTCAAGTTTTATCAGTAGGTCATAGCAATTCAGTCACATCTTCAGGCTCCACCTCTAATACTAGTTATCTTGCTCTTTCTACCGTATCTGCAGTGGTAAGGTTTGGCTGTGTCCACACCCAAATCTCATCTTGAATTGTAGTTCCCTTCATCCCCACAAGTGATGGGAGGGAGCCAATGGGAGGTAATTGAATCATGGGGACAGTTACTCCCATGCTGTTCTCATGATATCTCACTCATAATATTGAGTGAGTTTTCACAAGATCTGATGTTTTTATAAGGGGCCTTTCCCCCTTTTCTCAGCATTTCTCCCCCTTTGCTCTGTACTTCTCCTTCCTGGTGCCTTGTGAAGAAGGTGCCTTGCTTCCCCTTTGCCTTCCACCATGATTGTAAGTTTCCTGAGGCCTCTCCAGCCATGCTCAACTGTGAGTCAATTAAACGTCTTTCCTTTATAAATTACCCAGTCTAGGGTGTGTCTTTATTAGCAGCATGAGAATGGACTAATACATGCAGTGACTTCCTCCACTGCAATTTTGAAACTCTCAAAGTCATCCATGAGGTTTCAAATCAGGTTTTTCCAAATTCCTGTTCATATTGATATTTTAACCTCTCCCATGAATCACAAATGTTCGTAATGGCATCTAAAATGAGGAATCATTTCCAGAAAGTTTTTATTTTACTTTGGCCAGATACATTAGAAGAATCATTATCTATGGTAGCTATAGTATTATAACATATATTTTCTAAATAATATGATGTTTTAACCTTCTCCCATGAATCACAAATGTTCTTAATGGCATCTAAAATCGGGAATTGTTTCTAGAAAGTTTTTATTTTACTTTGGCCAGATACATTAGAAGAATCATTATCTCTGGTAGGTATAGCATTATAAATACATATTTTTAAACAATATGACTTCAAAGTTGAAACTGCTTCTTCATCCATGGAGAAGGATGTTGTGTTAGCAACCATGAAATAACATTCATCTTCTTGTATATTTCCATTAGAGCTCTTCAGTGACTAAGTGCATTGTCACTGAGCCATAATATTTTGAAAGGAATCTTTTTTTCTAGAGCAGTAGATCTCAACAGTAGGCTTAAAATGCTCAATTAGCCATGCTGCAATCAGATGTGCTGTAATCCAGGCTTTGTTTTCCTATTTATAGAACACAGGCAAAGTATATTTAGCATAATTCTTAAGGGACCTTGGATTTTTAAAATGGTATCTGAGCACTGGTTTCAAGTTAAAGTAACCATCTATATTAGCCCCTAACAAGTAAGTCAGTCTGTCCTTTGAAGTTTTCAAGCCAGACATTGATTTCTCTCTACCTGTGAAAGTCCTAGGTGGCATCTTCTTCCAACAGAAGACTGTTTCTTCAACAATGAAAATCTGTTGTTTCATGAGGCCACCTTTATTAATTAGCTAGACCTTCTGGATAATTTCCTGTGGCTTCTACATCACTTACTGCTTCACCTTGCCCTTATTATTATGGAGATGATTTATTTCCTTAAATCTCATGAGCCAACCTCTGCTAGCTTCCACCTTTTCCTCTGCAGCTTGTTCTCCTTTTTCAGCCTTCATAGAATTGAAGAGGGTTAGGTCTTTGCCCTGGATTAAGGGAATGTTGTGGCTGGTTTGACCTTTTATCTAGACCATTAAAACTTGTCAGTAATAAGGCTTTTTTTGCTTTCTTATTATTTATTGGAATAGGATTACTAATTTACTTTGATAATTTTTTCTTTGCATCCATTACTTGACTGTTTAGCTCAAAAGGCCTAGCGTTAGACTTTTCTTGGCTTTCTATCTGTCTTCCTCACTTAGTTTAATCATTTCTAGCCTTTGGTTTACAATGAGGGCTGTGCAGCTCTTCCTTTCAGCTGAACACTTAGAGACCATTTCTGTGTTATTAATTTCAATATTGTTGTGCCTCAGAATAGGGAGGCCCAGGGAGAGAGAGAGGAAAAAGACTTTAGGTGAATTGGTCAGAATACATGCAATATTTATTCAATTAGGTTCACTGTCTTATATGGCTGTTTCGTGGTTCCCAAAAACAACTAAAATTGTAACATCAAATATCACAAATCACAGATCACCATCAGAGAGGTAATAATAATTAACAAGCGTGAAATATTAGGAGAATTAACAAAATGTGATGTAGGGACACAAAATGAGCACATGCTGTTGGAAAATGGCATTGATAGGTTTGCTCAGTGCAGGGTTGCCTAAAACCTTCTATTAGTAAAAAGTCCAGTCTTTGCAAAGTGCAATAACATGAGGTATGCCTAGGCAGTCACAGGTAGCCGATGATAGGGACAGACATGGACTCCAGGGAAGGTAAAGTAAATGTGGGAGAAGTTTGTTTGTTAATTGATTACAATTGATCAATAATTTAATAGGTAGCATTTAGAGAAATGAGAATTGTTATCGTTCTTTTTATTATTTTTGAAAGAACATGATTGTAAGTCAAGAAAATGTGGATTATCTATAGTGCTCACTGTAATCCAGTTATTTCTCCATGAAATCAGATGGCTTTAAAGGACAATTAAAATCTTTAGTAGTTTGAGAGGAATTATCCATGGTAAAATATGGAAAACAAACTTTAACATATGATCTCAACAGAGGCAGGCATAAGAAAAATTATTATATAATTACTTTGGATTTGCATATTACATATGCATAATTATGGGTTAACAAATATGGCAGGGTCAAGTAGAAAAAATGTAAAAAACATCACAACATAGAGTTAATATCCTTAATACATAAAGAGAACTTAAAAATCATAGAACAATTCTTTTAAAAATAAGTAAAAAATGCAAGCAGAAAATTTTTAAAATACATTGTTCAAAAATGTAAAGAAATTTAGACTCATTTTCAACTAAAGATATATACAGTGATATGAGAAACCATTTTATTTTTACAATAAAAATGTCAATAGGACAATTTTTAAGAAAGATTTAATTCCAGTCACAGTCATTTTGTACAAAACATAGAGCTTCCCTTACTTCTTGTATAATGAGGAAATTAATATTTTCCAGCATAATCAGTTTTGCATAAGCACTCTCATACATTAGAAGCAGAAAGAAAAACTCATACAAAATTTCAGTAGGAAAATTTAATGATTTGTGCAACAAACTATAAAATAAAAATTTTTAATAACTTTCCTCCATCCACACTGTCCTCCTAAAAAAATCCTGTAAAAATTGCTAGCATGCACGTTCGGCATAATTTTATTTATAATAATACAGTAAACTAAAATATGGAATGTCCACATTGTGAAATATGTTCACTATACTTGATATATGTATTACTGTATTTGAAATGTCCACTAAAGGAATAAAGTAATTTATAAAGCTAACATACATATATATTTATCGACATGGTAAAAGAAGCACAGTGTAGTCTATTGTGAAAATAATGTCCAAAACAATATACCCATTGTTCCCTATTTTATTAAAAAGGTATATATGTTAGAAAATACATTTGAAGACATTATAAGTATTTTTTTTCTATATCTATTTGGTGTGAATTTTCAATGGTTTTGTTAAAAACTAGAACAAGTAAATCTTTTTTTATTATTATTTAAAAAGAAAGAAT